TTACACGACTAATTGTATAGGGAAAGCTATTATTAAATTGATGTCTTTAATTAACTACCCCTTCATCTTATCACGAATTAAAATTAGTATTAAAATTCTAATTACGGATCCGTGAAATTTGTTGGCGCAAGCGCTTTTTGAATGTCTGCCAGCGATACAGAAAATAGCTGGGTTTTGCCAGCACTTGACTTCCTGGCCTTCCTGACAGTTGCAAGGAATACCCTGCTGATAAACTTTTCATATTTGATGTTTGATAAGATGAATCCATCATTGCCTGTTGGCCCTTTTCCCATACTCTCATCAGTCAATTGTTCACAATAGCTTCTCCAATGTCCATGAAGCGTTCCCTTGCATTGTAAATAACGTCTGCCTGCTCCATCCATGGTTTTCCCAATATGAGATCATGAGACAACATTGGTATAACATACGCATACAACCTCTGTTGATACCCATCAATGTCTAGCTCCATCCTAACCATTTCCGTGATAAAATCTTCATGGTGCTGACTTTTTGCTGCCTCTGTGAGTTTGCGCGGACTTATTTTTATCCGAGGCAGGTTAGCCTTTTGTACTAATGAATTATGTTGTGCATAGACCCACATAGCTACAGTGAACAGCTCCAGTTATGATGGTCACGCAACTGCATGCATTTGCTCTGTTTGCTCCTGCTTTGTTGAGTTAGTATAATTAGTAAGCAATAGTCTAGGGACTATAAGTAGAGAGCTTTCCTCCACAGTAGATAGAGCAAGCAATTCAGTCTTCCCTCATTCTACAGAGATCATTCTCCACTCCTACTCTTGACCTATCCGGCCCAGCAGCACATCTGTGATCACTAGCAGCGAACTCCCACAAATTGTATGTACACCCGAATCATAGACCTATCATAACACTTGTCGACTTTCACCTTGGGGTTTTCTTTTTGTTGGGCTTTGGCCGCAGGTCGTGGCATAGCCTTGGCAGTAGGGACTGCTTTTTGTCGCAGTCCGTGTCTGGCCACTGTGGCCCAGGTGTTTTTGACGGGCAGAGCTTGGGCGGTGGGTATTGTTTGGCTCCTGGTGTCGAGAGCCCTTGGGAGAGGGTTCGTCGAGCGAGGAGAGAGAACGGGTGGCGTAGTGGCCGGGCTCGTGGCCATGTATTGCGCAATGGCGGCGCGTAGGTAGACTCTCATGGAGTCTACGGATTGTCTATTTGACCCCATGGTCAAAGGGAGGAGGGTGGCTTCGACGCCAGAGTTGGCGACGGAGCAGAAGGCCAGATTTGCCGCTATTTTGGCGGCGCGTCATTGTTCAGCTTCGACTTTATATCGGAGCTCGAGGGGACACTCTGCTTTTGTGGCAAATTTTGGCTGCGACGTTGATGTTGAGGCTGCTATGGGTGCAGCGTTTTCCGACGGTTTTGAGGTGGTCAGAGGAGGTTTGGATGATTCTCCAATCCCGTGGGGGACGGAAGGTCGTTGAGGAAATTCTTCAACAATTTCAACTGACCCGATCATGCCAGTATCGGGTTCAGTGACGGCAGGGAGTGCTTTTTCCTTCCCTTTGATTGAGACCTTGCTCATCTCCGCGCATTTCGGAGACTGGGCAAGGCCAGGTACTTGTCCGAGAGCCCTCGGGTGGACTCTTGTGTTGTCCAACATGGCGTTGGGACGATTTTTTCGAACAGGTGGCATGGTGAAAATGCCAGTGACTCGATCACTATAATTTGATAGAATGCAACAAGCGCAAGAAGGAGGGAGAGGGGGAAAAAGTGAAGATTCGAAAATTCGAATTTCAAAAAATTGTGTGTGTGTTGTGAGCTAGCACGGCATTAATATAAATAAATAAGTTTGTGGTGAGGCTATGACAGGGATTTTAGCACGTAAACTAAGATTCCTCAGTCATAAACACCTTTCTATTGAAAGGCTAAGGGTGATGGATAGGGAGACGTCACCTTGTGAATAGAATACTGGTAGGTATGGGAAAATTCAATAGATCACTTGGACAGGGTAAGATGATTGATTGATGGTGAACTTGTTAGAGTATAGAGAAGACTTCGGAGTAAGAATTGCCTGAGAACGGAGAAGAAGTTCAGTTTGCTTAATTGACTAATAGACTACAGGTATTATGATATATACAGTGGAATTATAAGAAATAGAGGTTACCCGGAACCGACTCGACTGCAGAAATAAGTGGGACCCCGTACCAGAAAATAATTATCCACTGACTGAGAATACTGGGTCACGCAATAGAAGTACGAACAAACCAATGACTAGATTTTTTCGGGAAGAATGGGATTCAAGCAGACTCTAACATTGAGTCCGATTGGATCAGAAGTGTGGGATCCTGCCCGAACTCAGAAATATAGTTCAGGCAAGATGCATGCAACCACATTGGTCGATAGAAAGAAAAGCAGGAAACTGTATTTCCAACAGAATTGTATTTGTGGATGATGGATGTAGATACTGAGAGTAAAAAGGCCCTTTCTATATACAGGAGTTCCTACCCTTATTCCTCTACATATTTTTTTTTAAATTCATTTTATTGTACTGTATGAGTCTATGACTATGTAGGACATGCAGGTCCACTCTGCCTATAGGCCAAGGATACCTATACCAGTAGTATATCCCCTCCTATGCCTCCCATACAGCTCCACTCAAACAGTACCACCCCTCACAAGTCCTCATTCAATAACACACTAAGAGGAGCCCTTTGCCCTTCATCATGGTGTGTGTAGTTATGAACCCAGATTTTTACAACACTTCCATGTTGGGGTTAATTGCTGTATTTGTGCAAATTTTCGAAAGAAATTGTATGGCAGTTTTTTCTGGACACAATAGCTTGCAGTGGGTCTTTCCTTCGTACTGAACCTAATTTGTATAATAATCGGCTGCATAACATTTGTGCATTTTTGCTACTTGACTTTATAACTTATTTACAAGAGTTCAAAGGTTTTCAAATTACAAAATAGAGCCAGTCTTATTCTAACCTTAGATCTGAATATGTGGCTGGAATACTTTCAGGCCTTAATCTCTGGTTGGTCCCCCATCCATATCTATGACAGCCTGACATCTTGCTGGCATACTCTGAATGAGTCTCACAAGATCTTCGGAAGACACGGAATCCCATGCCTCCTTTACAATCTTACGAAGACTTTTTTGAGTTTGCTGCTTTCCGCAACCCTTATTTGGATGATAACGCTGAATGTAATCCTTTATCAAACTGTGGATAGTTTGGGAGCGATCAATATAGAGTTTAAGGTGTTAGGTTTACAAAGCTTGGAGTTACTTGTTTCGGAAAAAGGTGTTTCGCTTGGTTTGTAGCAATGGGAACTCCACATCTTCTCACTAGAGATGTTTCGTTCCAAACCAGTAGAAACTCGGTTCATGGGGACAAGTTGGGGACATATAGAGCATTTGCCATTTTCTAGACGTACATAATCTAGATAGTATCAGTAAGAGAAATGGCAGCCAGGAATTAATTGTCACTTTTTACTTTTACTTCATACATTTTTCAATTGACTTGTTGAGTCTAACATCCTTAATCCTCTTCCAAATAGCTTCAATCAGGTTAAGATCAGGCGAGTTGACCGGCCAGAAAATTGGTCGAATGAACCTCTGGCCCATATCTTCCATTGTATTTGCTGCTGTGTGAGCAGGAGCATTATTATTATTGTAAAGAGATGGATCTTGAGGAAGAGGAACGTATCTAATGTCGTGAATTACAAGGAATTATAATTAACTATATTACAAAGAGACTGGACGCAGTAATGAAAGACCGCCTGCACGCGAAGACACTTGCACGTGATTCACAATTACAACAATTATCCTGCATTACAGAAAGTCAAGGTCTCATCAAAATCATGCCATCAATAAGAGGAACAATTTTCTCGCAATATTTTTGGGAGTTAATGGATCCCCAATCCTTCTCCCAAAATAAACTGGGGCCTTTTTCTGGCCCTGCAAAGCAACCCCAGAACATCCAGTCGACTCTCTTCGACTTTCTCCAACACAATCAGCATTTTGTTCTTGGGAAGTCTAGCTCATAATGTTAGAGCATCAAATAACTATCTTCTTATAGAGGAATTTAAGAACACTTGTTGTCGCCCATTCTCTAGATTGTCTTCCATCCTCTACCCAAGTCTCGTCTGTCCATAAAACCGATGTCCAGTCATCAGGCTCGTTGGCTAGTTCGGAGGTCAAGGGTCGGAACAGGATGTGATCGGAACAGGACAGAGTCGGGGTATAAGATAAAGCTTATAATAATCGGATCAATCTAAAGTCTAGAATAATTACAAGACAAAAAACTACAGAACAAATCTTGTCCTAGACCTTCCTTAAGTTCTCAAGAGCGGCTACTACAATCAGGGGTATGGTAGTCTATAGCTATAACACAGCAACTGATTGCTTATGTTGATTAGTAACTGTTGCTATCATAACATTGTAACCATTGCAAGGCATTGACTATGTTATTTTAAGGTTATGAGTCATATGGAAACATGGTTACTTGTCACTTGTTATGTCTGATTGGAGTATGTAGAGGATGTGTTCGACAGATTTCGATACTGTCAGAAGTATGAATATATGCTATCTTATATACATCTGTATGACCCATGTCATAGTCTTAGTTCCATCTCGTGATTGACTATCTATAGTAATCACATTACCAATCCAGCGCTCATGAATCCACGGTTCATGAGCGGCCATTGCTGCTCCTGCGGCTCTCGTATATCCTCCGCTTGCCAGTCGCATCACTGCTCCTATAATTGCAGCTCAGTACCCTAGTTGAGCGCCCCTGAATAGCTGATCCAGGGGCGACCGTACTGGTTTCCTTTGTGACGGCTGGTTCCTGTAGCCTATGTTGGCTAACATAGGCTTGGTCCGATTTAGGGTGCGCACGATCGATCGATCTAATATCGGAGCATCGGAATCTGCATAGCATCCGATTCAACAGTGCAGCTCAACACGGCACCACTTGTCGGTGAGAAGCAATCGGCTGGGAATATACAAGATCGGACACAACCTCCTCAATTGATAGTGCAATGACGTCGTAGAACATGAGGCTCTTTTGTATATATACATGTGTAGATAGATCTTGTAGTAGTTCTCTCCTTAGAATTATTATCTACTACCATCAACCACATAGTTGCTCCAGCACCTGTCCTAGAATCCGTGACATCCTTTAGTGACACTCGAGATACACCTGTACACTCGATGCTGTTGCATATACGCTGAGTGGTACCCAACCCCTTGCGGCTAGCACTTATATTCCAGGGGCTTATGCTGTCGCTACCCCGATCGCTTCCATGTATAGTTTTTACCTGGGCGCTCCCGCGCCCGAATCTTGGTGGCGAGCAGTAGATGTGCATGTTGCAGTGCTAGGCATGGGTTTGCACCTTCGGTACCGTGACCGTTATTTGTCAGTACTATCTCAACATGTTACTAGGGAAGTTCCTGTTTTGGTTGACCAGACTAAACGCAGCATCTCAGCATTAGCCTATGGCACAATGGTAGTAACAAGCAGGCCGTTTTCCTCGTGGGAAAACCGGTCTGTGACACCAGTCTTCATATTTCTAATTGAGATGAGCTTTGGCCCATTCTCTGCGTGTCTTCATAGTTTTCTGAGATACTAGAGGCTTTAGACAAGCCACATGTCGCTGATATCCCCTTTTTTTAAGTTCTCTTTGTATTACTTGCTCGCTAACACCAAGATGTCTTAAGGAGGACGAAGGCTAAACACCTGTCAGTGGTGTCCTCTACAAATCTTGGAGTGAAATATTCTCCTAAAGCCGAGATTCAGTCACAACAAAGGGTGGGATGAATTTTTTTTGATGGATTTTCGACTTGAAGGAGTTGCACCTGATATTTTGGTCGAAAAATCAGTCGGCAGAGATTTCACAGCTGGAACAAAGTTGAACAAAAACTCATCACCACTAAAATATGATTCACAAATGGATTTAGGTCTGTCTGTGAGTTGTATTCAAACATCCGACATCTCTTAAACTCCTTTTATATTTGCGACAAAGAACTTCTCAGTCGATCCTATACCTACAACCCACCTACCATAACACGCCCTGATGAGGAAAGTCATGATGGAAACGGGGCGTGTACAAAGGATGAAGAGAAGGGAAGATACACCGAGGGGATTACACAAATCCCCAATGACAAAAACAACCCAACGGTACGACATAAAGGTGTAAGGCTAGAGCAACAATGAGATCTTGGACGGCATTTATATTTCGGAGTCAGTGAGGATGTCAAGGGCTCGGGCGCGTGGTGGCCGAGGCTGAGGAGGAAATTGCGCAACGGCGTGTATACAGGAGGTTTCTGGACAGTCAGACTTGGTATGATTCAACACGTAGGTGAAGTCTGAGGTGGTCTGGTCATTAAAGTGGGACAAGGTATATCTGGACTTTACAGTAGTTAACCTGATCCGGCCTAACCCCACACGTGCTTAAGCTCCAATAGGACTGCAATGGTAGACATGTAACCTAGCACTATAATGAACAAAACAAAACAAAAACCAAGATGTCAAAAGGTGCCAGAGGCGAGTTCCAGAAATGTTTTGCAGCAGTTTTCAGGTGAAGACTCAGTATAAGATATAATCTGATCAACATTATCTGCTTTCGGTCTTGAGGATGTCCTTTTTCTCTTTTTGTGGGAGACTATTCTGGGGCACAGCAAATGACTAACTTGTCTCCGAGAAATGCCTAGTTGTTTGGCAATCTGCCTCTGGCTTTTGCCAGATTCATGAAGCCCATAAATCTTAATTTTTCTTCTTATTTATATTTGTTCATATCTAATTTTTCTACTTACTAAAATGTTTTGGTCTCTGGATAATTGTTTGATTTGAGATGTTGAAGGTGGGGTTTGAGGTGGATTCATTTGCAAAATAAAGTTATTATCAAGTAAAGCCATGTGTCTTCTGAATAAATAACTTTGAATTTAAGAAATCTAATTCTTATTGTCACTCAAGCACAATATGAAAAGAGCTGTGTACATTTTTAGCTCTCGGCAGTCATAAAAGGGATGGGAAATAACTAGAGAACAGGTTGGATTTGCACAAAACTGAGGGTGACATGAAATCAAATTGTGCCCTTGGTCTAGGCCTTGAAATCCAGGACAAGAATTATGTACCCTGTCGAAATGGGCGCTAACAGGGGTACAACCCCTGAACCGAATATGCTCCCCATTTAAATCCACTGAAAACTTGAAATTGTGGCATCATAGTATGGTTGAGGATCCAAGATTGACAAACCTCTAGATCAGTACAAGGCTCTGATAAATTGTGATGCTTATGTAATGTTGTTCACGTTGGATTCTGGGCGCGAGATAGGGAATATTGTAGTCAACTAGACAATACCCTGTATTAATAGAAAATAAAGTTAGATCTAGTCTCAAGTGTCAAGAGTACAAGAGGAGTTCTCATTCCTAAGGTTTAATAGTTCAAGAGTTCAAGAGTTCAAGAGTTCAAGAGTTCAAGAGTTCAAGAGTTCAAGAGTTCAAGAGTTCAAGAGTTCAAGAGTTCAAGAGTTCAAGAGTTCAAGAGTTCAAGAGTTCAAGAGTTCAAGAGTTCAAGAGTTCAAGAGTTCAAGAGTTCAAGAGTTCAATGTAAGATTCAATAACCTCTAAAGAGTTCCTAAGAATACAAGACCATAATCTGCTGAGCCCAAGTCCTCCCAATTCCTCCCTATTCCTCTCTACTGTTCTCGATCTTTCCAGTATACTCTCATATAGCTAAGAATGGAGTAGAATAGAATAGTATAGACAAGCACAGATCAGAAAAGAACGAAATAGAATAGAATGGAGTAGAGTAGGATAGAATAGAACAGAAAAGGACAGATATCTTCGTACATACTTCCTATTGACTCAGAATAGGCCCTTGGTTCTTGACATTAAGCTCTACTATGTTTATTGGTAGTTTGGAGCCATGAGACACCCGTAACCTATGCCACTATAAAGCTAAGCTTATCTCACTTTTCACAAATACTAATTCAGCAGAAACGTCATGGTGATACCTCTCCTAACTTTCATACATCCCAATCACCATTTTTTTGACAACCATCTACAAAATCTGGAAAACTGTTGGAAATGGAGACACGGAGTGTTGTAGACGTACGGGCCCTCCACTTTGTCTAGGTTCCCGACACAATCTTGTGTATATGTCAGAGGTTAGAATGGGCAATACGGTAGCGCCTCAGGCTACCTATTGGAGACATGAGCGGCTTTATGGCGTGGGCGCAAGGAGGTTATTGGGGGTTTTCTATGCCTAGATGGCACCACACTCGTTTATGCTGTGGCTTAGGCTCTGTGTTGCTTACACTTGTACTTGTAGCGCACACTTCCCACACTTTTAGCTTTAATCCGAATATGACACTCTTTTAGTCAACTACAACTTTTGTTCCATGAATATTGCGCCCATTTCATTGCGCGATATTTCCAACAAAAACCACGAAGTTCCCCCCAGCACTCATCATGAATACTCTTCCCCCCTGCCCTCCCTTTAATCATAATCCCCCTTCTCAAACCATTTCGCGATTTTATTGCGCATTTATACTCTGTGGTGCTAAGGCACTTTGAATGCCATGTCAGAGGTTCAACTCGACTGCCAGTGCCCTACTCTGCAAGTTGTTAGAAATTATCAAGGATTTCTAGGAGGAAATATCTCGAAGAACAAGTGTACAATTTCGGACAAGAATATATTGATAGTTGTATAGGACATCAAATTCTCTTCTCAATATGAATTAATAAAATATAATATTTTGATTACTTAGTTTAACATATACAAATAAGCCAATCCTTAAATACAGATTCCCGAGGCTTTAGTGATCCTGAACTCCCGGTGATCTAGCTACAACCAGCCACTCAATTACCACATGGTATCATTTCCTAGCCACTGCATTTCAGATACTACTGAACCTCGTTTCCCCTAGCTGAGCTTAATTGTATGCAGTAGAAACAAGTAAATTGATCTTGATGATCAAACTAGAAATCTAAACCTTCATACATACAAAGTCTAGATTTCCAACACAAGTCCAACCCAGTGTCATAATTTACCCCAGACTGACATGATCCTGTGTAAATTGAGTCATAACACAAACCGTGCTACATCATATTTTATCATTTCCGTTCACAGCAGCTTCCTAATCGAGCTAAGGCCGACTACCTTACTGATTGCAGTTGCTAGCACTTCCCTCATTTTGCTGCAATAATCTCTTAGCTTAGAAGTAACGAGCTTGGTCATGTCATGGTTAACCACAAACAATCCTTCTTGTAGTAGTATGTGTTGAAATCTAGACATGCCAGACCGAACTGCACGCAGTGCGGAGTAGACGAAGACTACTCATCTTCGATCACTACCAGCTTTGGTGAGGTCTCGGTTGGTGATGATCTCGGTGGTGTGAATGTTATTCCATCACGTAATCAGAACACAATGTTTCTACCTAAGCGAGGTAGAACATAGATAGACAATTAGATGTAGATTAAACACTAACACTTTTAATTACCGAAATATAAGTTCAGTAAAGCCAAAAACCTCACTGATCCTAACCTTTTATCTCCGATCCTTAAATCCCCAATATCTTACAATTCCTACAGTATTGACTTGACGGTCAGCGTTCACTTCTATCATTCCAGATACCCCCTAGAACTTTAATAGTATGTTCTTACATATGGATCATGGAGTTAAGGGAGTTAGGGAAGTAGGAATGGAATGGAATGGAATGGAATGGTACATGCAAATATAAGTAAGAATATTTGTTGCAAATCTAGACTCAGCATGTATGAAGGCTTAGATTTCTAGGTATGATCTGTGACGGTCTTAAAGTGGCGTTTTATTCAAACTGAACTCAGAGCTAGATACAAATGAAAATCTTAAAGTAACGAGCAGAGACATGACTGAAAGCCTCCTATTTATTTACAAGACTATGATCTCGTTCCCTCATTTCATACCATTCTCAAAATAGATCATGACCTGTCCTCCGACAAACACCAGCATCTCCGTCTATTTTAATTCGGCTTCATTTTAATGTTAGTAATTTTAGTTATTAAAATAGTTATGATGCATGTGGCTTAGATGACTCACGACTGGTGTTCGAGTCGTCCTGTCTGCAATCTAAATTTATCATTTAAGAATAGATTTGCATGAACTGGGCCAAGGCCTATACTTGGGTCTAATGAGTCGTGGAGGGGTTCATGACATGTATGGTGTTTAATATGGTTGGAAGAGTTCAAGCCTTATTTGTTAGGCAGCAGCCTAATGATAACCAGGTATGAGCCTGTGACATGATCATCAAGATCAATTGAGTTGATTCGATTGAATATGATTAAGCTCAGTTGGACGAAATAAGATTCAGTGGCATCTGGAATG